ATCCAGAAAAAGATGGTGATAACAGCCTAAACCCCGGGCCCTGCAGAAACAGACAGGAAAGTTTGGGATGGCCCCCTAAACCCTCAGCCAGCACTGCAAGTCCTAAGTTGGCAGCAGAAGGGAGTGGATTTCTCTGATGTCTAAAGAAGGGAAGTGAATGGGGCCTGGAGGAAAGCAAGTTTGGGTTTGAGAGCAGAAAACTCTGAAACTAGGAGCAAAGTGATGCCTCAGCCACCCTGGTCTCATCTTTCCTCAAGCTGGGGGCGCAAGGAAAGAGAACAATAAAGGTAGAAGACACTGGGATGGCAGCCGCTGACCAGGAGGTGAGTTCTCAGGCTGAGAAGGGAGACCTGGGCGTCCCTCCTCTGAGGCCAGACTATGGGGGTGGAGAGATTAAGGTTGAGCTGGTTCCAGATGGATCCAGGAGCCTAGGAGGTGGCATTCGCATCTGCACGCTCCTTGTGCTGCCCTCCTGGTCTTCCAGAGCCCAGAGAGGTAGAGGGAAAGAGGCAAGGGGGGGATTGGGCAGGGACAGGGAGCCCCAGGATCAGCCACTTTTCTTTCCTTCCCCACCAATATCACCCTTCACAACCAACCAGGAATTTCCTCTGACCGTGTGGGAGGCTCTCCCGACTCAGACACACTCTCTGGGTGCCCTCCCATAGGCTTTCCTTGAACCCCAACCCTTTCCTGTAAGTGGCCTCTCCATCTCAAACATCCCTTTCTTTCCTGGGTAGGTCAAGCCCTATGTCCTCTGGCCCCCACAAATCTTCTCTTTCACCCTGCTGCCTGGACCCTGGACAGGAAAGGGCCCCCCAAATTTTATGCCCGCCCACCAAGGCCCCAAGTCTGGGCAAGAATCCAGACCCCATGGTGGTGAGGCTCTTTGTTCTCCTGCAGCCTCAACACACCCCCTCCCTTTTTCAAACTGGAATTTCTCCCATAAAAAAGGGGGCAGGAGCTTCAGAGCTTCAAGCTCTTTTTTTTTTTTTCCTGGGGAATATGGAGGAAAGAGAGGAGGAGGGGAGGAAGGGACATCAATGGATGCTTAATTTCCAGAGAAGGCAATCTGGGCATCGAATGAGGGGCACACTGACCTCATTCCTGTCATCCTCCTCCCTAGCCTGGTATTCAAGCTGCACCCAGCCCTCAAGTGTGGGTATCAAGCTTGCCCCCTCCTGCTGCCAATGCTGCTAACTTACACCTCTGACTGCATCTTTAAGACAGTGGGCCAGGAATTCCACCCCTCAGCTTCAGACAGACACAGACATCTGCCTCTTCATTTTCCTGGTATTTTCCTGGCGGGGTGTCTAGGTAGAGAGCAGGATGAGCGTGTAAAGGAAGTGTGTATACACAGAGAGAAATAGACCAGCAGAGATCTTTATTTGCATATAGAGGATTTCCACTGCGGGCTGGGTATCTTCATGAACACATCTGGGCTGTGTCCACAAGGGCATATGCTGGAACAGTGCACGCAACCTGCAGAGGGTCCCAAATCCACAGGCCAGGCATGCACACGTACACCACAAACACACACACACACTCACACATATACACACACACTTCCAGTGAGAAGGCACACTGAATATCTCTTTTATATGTTGGAGCCTTTGAAAGGAAAAATTTCACAGTTGAACTTAGCCGGAAACTCAGTCTGTAGAGGAAGCTGAGGGCATAGCGGCTCCCGGAGCCTCGCCGTTACAAACATCCCTTTGAAAAAAGAGTCCAGAGCACAGCCTGGGCTTCCCGACGGGGCTGAGGGGCCATTTTCCATTTTCCTTCGGTATAATGAAGTGCTGTGTCTTTTCCCCGACACCAGCAGCACGGCTAGAGACTGAGGAGCCATATTCCTTTTCATTTGTCTTGATTTTCTCTAGACTTCATCCGTAGTCAAGCCCCATCGCCCCATCTGCGAAGCCCGGTGGGGCGAGGCGTGGCCGTGTGGCGGAGACTGAGCGCGAAGCCGAGGGTTTCAGCGCCCGGCTTTCTAGGGCGGGATCGCCTCGGAGAGGTAATTACCACGTTTCCAGTGGTGCATATTCTCCTGGAGAGTTTAATTTGGTTTTATTTGTGTCTCAGCGAGAACCACATTTTTTTTCGGGGGAGGAGGGAGAAGCGACCCCAGGCTTAAAGTTGATTAACCAACAAGGCTTTACTTTCCGCCGCCTGCCCGCAGGCTCTTGCGTCGCCGCCTTTTCCCCGCTCCAGGCGCGCCCCCGTCGTGGAGCCAGCAGTTTCAAGCGCGGAAGGTCTTGGGGAACCCAGCGAAAAGCGGAGAATCGTCAGACATGCAGGCACTTCTCCAGGCGCTTTTAACTCCCTTAGCCCTGAACTTTCCCCTCCAGCCTTCCCACTCCCCCAAGTCTCTTGGGGAGCCTACATCTTCTTCGGCTGGTCTTGACGAAGGGGTCTTGGGTTCCGTCTCTTTGCTCTCGTCGCTAAATTTTGGCCGCATAGTGCCCCTAATAAATGGAATTGTAAAATTGCCAGGTTAATTAAATCTATCTCTCATTGCAATAGGAATAGTTATTGTCCTTACATAAACCTGGAAAAGAACATACTATTAATTTTATTTATTGCTGGGCTTCCTTGCACCCACATCCTCCCCGCCGTTCTGCCCCCTACTCGCAAAGGCTGGGTGGGGACGTGTCTTTGGGTTCTGGCCCGAGGAAGGCGCGTCTGGCGTTGGGCTAGAGCCTTCCTGGACCCGGGAGGGAGCCCCAGGAATGGAGTGGGCGTTTCAGGCCCTTTGTTTCTCCTGGGGGCCCCACAGAGCCGGGTCCACGCCTCCCTGGGTTCTCCACGCGGACCGGCTTGTCCATCACGGGAGGGGAAACCCGGGCCTCCGCACCACCTCTACACCTGCGGCTGGAAAAACGGCAGACCTCCCCACTCGCCTTCCCCCACCAGCCAGGCCGCAGGCAGACGTGGGGGCCAAGGTCACACGGACCCAGTCTAGGCTGGCCAGGCCGTCTTTGCTCTCCTCCTTTTACCTTGACCTTGGACTCCGGAAGCAGGGAAGACAGTTTCCCAGCCCAGAGCTGGCTGCCAGCAAGACCCCACCTTCCCCTCCGCTCATCTCTCCTCCCTCCACCATCATCGCCCTCAACACACACTCAAGCTAGCCTGCTTATGTTTCAAACCTTTCTGTTATGTTTTGCCTCCTACTGCCACACCAGCCCGAAGCCTGCTTTCCGCGAGCTCTGAGATGACCCTTCCGGATGAAGATCACACCGATAAGGATTATGTTTCTTATTCTAACTTACCGACGCCAGGGCGCTCTCCATCCTCAAACACCACCTTCCCCCTACAGAGAGAAGGTACCGGCTGGTGGGCCAGAGCTCAGTGCAGACCTGGCCATTTTCTCTCGGGTTCGAGGGGTCCAATGGGTCCGGCTTAGCTTGGGGCTGCTGTGTGGCCATGGCCTGTGCGCTGTCTGGACAGGAGCACCCAGCATTTAAAATCTGTGGCAGAAGCAGGAAAGAGGGAGATGCTGCAGCCCCTCGCCCTTCTTTTTTCTCTCTCTTTATTACCTCTTCTCCTCAGGGAGGCCCTGTGCTGAAAGGGAACTTGGCTCAATTCCACGGAGATGCCCCCAGTAAGGGATGACTCTATTGAGGCGCCAAATTGGGCATAGGAAGCCCAACAAGTCCGGAAATCGGGAGAGAGGAAGAGGGGCCTTTTTGAAAGAGTTGGTGTCAATTTTTTCTTGGTAATATGGGGCAATTTCGGAGCACGAAAACACTCCACACTAAAAGGGAGTGACTCCCAAGAAAGCCGAGGGAGCGGAAGTTAGGGTTGTCCAGCTAGACGCTGCGTTGATCCCGGCTCTGCCGGCCCCTTGGCCCTCATCAGGCTCAGCCCAGGCTGCCAAGGGCTGAGGCGGGCCTCGCAGGACTCCCTCCTGGGGTCTCCAAGAGCTGTGTCTGAGAAAGGTCCCTCTAAAGGGGCAGCGGCGCCGACTTTCCCTTATTCCACGTTTCCTTTGGTACACGGATCTGAGAGCGCGTGCTCTTGTTCGCATCCAGGGCTTTTTAGCTTTCTGAGACCGAATCCTCTCCCCCTTTTCTTTGAAAAATCTCACTGCAAGGCTTATTTCTATTTGTATTGAAATATCAGTCTATTCTATTGCCCGGTCCCTTCTTGTATTCTTCTCCATTTTTCTCTGAGAGTATCCCCCTCCGGGTGATGGTGTGTGTGTGTGTTGGAGCTATCACATCGTCCCAGCCCGCTCTGCTCCACTGGAGGAAGACCAGCGGGCGGGGAGCCCAGAGGGTCCCTCTCAGACAACTGGGGCTTTGGGGAAAGTGGCTCAAAGTCGGAAATGGAAAAACGATCCCGGGCATCAAAGTCTCTCTCGCTGCAGGGAGTCGGGTTCTTTTCAGCAGTGAGCTCCAGGGGAGTCTGCCAGGGCCAGAGCCACGGCTCCCCACGCCCGCCTGCTATCTAGTTTCTTTATTTATTTAGAAAAAATCTTTCTCCCCCACCCTTTGCTGCAAGCCTCAATCCAGTCACAGCGATCATTTTGGGGTATAGATCCATCTCCCCCATACACATCCTAAGCCTAGGGGTAGGCCCCCAGGAACAGTCTTCGTCTCTCCAGACCCCTTTGCGTCGGCGAAATTCAGCCAACCCCTCCCTCCCTCTCCCTCCCCGGGGCCCGCCAGGGGGCGTTGCTCTGTCCCTTTAAATCTCCCAGCTCCCTCCTCTTTGCCCCTTCTGAGAGCCAATCAGCAGAGACCTCTTTCCTTTCGCTCCGCCCCACCTCCAGGGGTGGGAACCCCAGGAGACCAGGCCGGGGCGTCACGTGCGCGGGCCGCGTCACGTGGGCGCCAGAGGGGTGCGGAGGGAGGCGGGCGGGAGCTGGTGGATTTCTTAATGATGTGTCCCCGCATGCGTAGAGGGAAGGTGGGGAGGGAGGTGGAAGCACCGCGAGGAGGAGGGAGGGGAGGGGAGGGGTGGGCAGGGAAGGGAGGAGGGGTGGGGGAGGGGAAAAGGGAGTGAGGTGTCTCCCTAGCTCGCTGCCTCTGGCAAGTGGAGTTTTTAAAAAGCTCGAGCAGATCATGTCATGACGACTTCGCTGCTCCTGCATCCGCGCTGGCCGGAGAGCCTTATGTACGTCTATGAGGACAGCGCGGCGGAGAGCGGCGGCGGCGGCGGCGGGGGAGGCGGCGGCGCGGGCGGAGCGGGGGTCGGCTGCAGCGGAGCGAGCCCCGGCAAAGCCCCGAGCATGGACGGGCTGGGCAGCAGCTGCCCAGCCAGCCACTGCCGCGACCTGCTTCCGCACCCCGTGCTGGGCCGGCCGCCGGCTCCCCTGGGCGCCCCTCAGGGCGCCGTCTACACGGACATCCCAACCCCGGAGACGGCGCGCCAGTGCGCCCCGCCGCCGGCGCCCCCCACCTCGTCCAGCGCCACCCTGGGCTACGGCTACCCATTCGGTGGCAGCTACTACGGCTGCCGCCTGTCGCACAACGTGAACCTGCAGCAAAAGCCTTGCGCCTACCACCCGGGCGATAAGTACCCGGAGTCGTCGGGCGCCTTGCCCGGTGACGACCTGTCCTCTAGAGCCAAGGAGTTCGCCTTCTATCCCAGCTTCGCCAGCTCCTACCAGGCGATGCCCGGCTACCTGGATGTGTCGGTGGTGCCTGGGATCAGCGGGCACCCAGAGCCGCGTCACGACGCGCTCATCCCCGTCGAAGGCTACCAGCATTGGGCTCTCTCCAACGGCTGGGACAGTCAGGTGTATTGCTCCAAGGAGCAGTCGCAGTCCGCCCACCTCTGGAAGTCTCCCTTTCCAGGTAAGGAAGGGGCCTGAGCGCCGCCGCCGCCGCCGGGGACCCCTCCCCGCCCTGCCTGCCCCGGGGCTCCGCGCCCCAGCCACCCCCGCCGTCTGGCCCCGGCGCGCCGGCTGTGCCGGGCTGCCGATGGAGCCGGCCGGGCGAGCTGCGCTGAGGAATGCGCCGGGGAAGAAATCTGCTCCGACACGTTCCCGGGAGCTGCCGGCCGAAAGTGAAGCAATCACAGGCGCCCGAGCGCCGGGCTGCCGGCTCGGAGCTCGCCTCCTCCTCCCCCAACCGGCTCCAATCTCACGCGAGGCTCTTGGCCCCCCGAAGCCCGCTTGCGGCAAGGAATGGGGGTGGGGTGGGCCTCGGGTGCCTTGGAATCCACAACCACCAGGACGAAACCCTCAACCCAGAGAATAACTGAGGGAAAAAGTAAGAACCCCTAAACATTTTCTTTGCCTGAATTTCCAAGATCGTTCAGGCACCAGACAGGCTTTTTAAAAAATAGAGGTCTCATTTGGCGGGGTCTACAGAAATATAGGATGTTTTCTTTTCTTGATTTATTTTTAAAATTCGGCCACAAATTTCCTGATTGTTAGAAGAGCTGAAATCTCTCGAGAAAGTGTGGAGAGAAGGGAGTTCGCATCCCTCTCCTGGGATATAAAATTTTCTTTGCCTCTGTGGTATACTGAGCTCAAATCCTATGGGTGTTTCCACTGCCAACTCCCCTAGATGTGGAGGAGAAAGAGAATTATCTGTGCCTCAGACACAGAAAGAAGAGAGTGAAGATGAGAGGTGGGGGGTGGAAGATCTATATATGGGGTCCAGGCCCAGGCTGGGGACCCCCTGGTCTGGTCTGGCTGTGTATGGGGGTGGAATTCACTGATGTCCTGTTCCCTCTACAATTGAGGCTATCTCTGAACAGGAGGGGATCCTGTAACCCCCACTACTCCCCAGGGCCAGGGAAGACCAGTCCCAGGTTTCTCAAAACCATGTCAGAAGCCTTGGATTCATCACTGTGCTGAGAAATCAGGATTCTGGGCTGAGCGAATCCAGAGCTTGAGTCTGCTCTGGCTGTAAGCAGAGCTCAGTGGGAGAGGGCTGACTGGCTCCCCTCTGTTGCCCACAGGGGTCCTGGGGGGCCCAGAGCAGCCACAGATGTCTCCCCACGCTGCCCAGAGGGCCCCCCAGCTCTACATGAGGGCCCAGGGACATTTTTGTTGGGAAGTACAGACCTGAAGACCTCCTGAGGATGGGCCTGAAATTCCTCTGCATCCGGGATTAGGATGAGGGCAGATGGAGAAAAATCACTGAATGATGTTAGAAAGTGTAGCAAATAACATTTTTGTAATTATTATGAGTTTACTTCGTATAATACAACTGAATACCAGGGTGGGACTCACCCTAGGCACCCCATTTCTGGCTCACAAAAGATTTAAGGATGATAGAATTTTAGTACATGGTATCATGTATTACCTACTGTGCATTGGCTTTAATATTTTTATATAATATGATTTCTGTTATTAACTAACTAATATGAAACACATAATAAGACATTTTTAGAAGATAGGCAGTTCACATATCGGTATACGATAATGTATTGTAGAAAGATTGCCCTTTAATTCTCCATCTCACCCAAGTGGAAAGCTCCTTAGGAGGCAGGGATCCAGCAGGAATTCCTGGAGCAGAGGGAGCCGATAGGCCATGCCAAGGGGCTGAAGGGCAGGGAAGCAGATGCCCACCAGGCCCACTGTGGGCCGGGGCGCAGGTCTAGAGCAATGGGCAGTGGGTTTAGTGTGAAGAGGGGAAGGGAGGGAGGCGCTCTGGCATCCCTGTGTATGCATGTGGAGCGGCTGGGCGTGAGGGATTGGAGAGAAGATCAGAAATATCTTTGAGCATCTTAAAGATTTCCAGAAAAAAACTCACTAAAAAACCCACTTTTTGATCACAGCCTCCTAGAGAAAAATATCTTTGAAAAAAAAAATACAGCTCAACTGAGATTTAATACATTTGCAAATTACGGCATGGAAATGGATATAAAGCCCAGTGTGTCTCAGCAGCTATGTGCTCACACACTCTTGTGTAGAAATGGAATCGGGCTGGTGTATCTCAGTGAGTGCAGAGGTCCAGGCAAAAGGCAGATGAAAAAGAAATTATCTTCAGACAGCCTCCCTCTTTCTACCCACACCAAGATCTTTTAGAAGTAGTGAGATTTCCAGATAACTCTCTGTCTATGCAATTGTGGTTTATTCAGCAGCATCTAGGCATAAACACCACTGTCTCTCTTCAGCGCCTCTGGCTCTGAGAAACCTCATCTGTGGCAGTCTGGGCTGGTGTGGGAGATGGAGGCAATGGTTCAGAAAGATCCAGATAATTAGGACCAAGATCTGTTGTGGCTTTTTCCTTCCTCCAATTATAGGGACCCTTGCTTTGTTGCTCTGTTTGGCTTTTTTTCTTCCTATGTTGAGTGTGGACACAATTTTTTTTTTTTTGACAGAGAGAAGCAGAAATTCCAAGAGAAAATCAGAGGGAAGGGGGGCAGGCGGAGACAGGGAGAGACAAAGAGAGACAGAGACAGACAGACAGAGACAGATAGGATTAGGAGAGAGAGCAATAGAGAAAGAAATAGTGGGTTCTTTGGGCCATAGTGGAAGTCCCTAGTGACAAATCTTTGGATTTTGTTTGAGAAGAGCAGCTAGGATTTCTAGCCGGACAAGGTCCTCTTCAGAGCCCAGAGCCCTGTTGTGGGAGTAAGTTGTCAAGAGCAAGTGGCTGGTAGGAACCTGTACACAGGACTCCAAGAGAAAGCTATGGCTGAGCATTGATCTGATTTTTATTCGCTCCTCAAAGGTGTCTACTACGTTCCGAGGTATGAAGTGGTTTGTGTGTGTGCGTGTGTGTGCGCACGCGTGCTCTGGAGGGAAATTAGGGAAGGGCTGATAGTAAAATTAATAGCCAAGTCCCTTACTTACTCTAGGTGGTATAGACACAACTCAAGGTCTATGCTTCCAAATGTTTCCACATCTGTAGATCCCACTTCCTTTCCAGACAAGACAGCAGACAACGAAAGGATCTTCTTTGAAAAGGCAAGACTAAAGGTATTTCCTCAGGAGGCCAAAACAACCAGCAGTTTGGTCTGGTCCATGAAAAACTTGGCCAAATCAAGCCTTGGCATCCTATGGAGAAAAATAGCCAGTTTAGACCAGTTATCAGTTTTTTTAACCGATTTTTTAGCGTTGTGTTGATTAAACCTCATTGGAAGTTTAGAGTTGGGGTTTAGGGGACACAAAATTGGGTAGGTGACTGTGAGCATTTCCAGAAAGTGAGGTGAAAATCAGGGACAATTATCTGGTTAATTCAGGAACCAAACCCCAATTTTATCCCAGCTTTCTCTCCAGGTAAAAGGAGATATTTTAAAGCTGGATTGTACCAGGTGGCCTGTTTCCATTTTAGAACTTACTGTGTCATTATGTTGAGTCAGAAAATCTAGGTTTAAAATCTGGCTCTGCCGCTTAAGTTATTTTACCCTCTCTGAGCCTCAGATTCCTCATCTTATAAAGCGGGTTTAATAAAATAAGCCTGAAAAAGTGTTCTGACGATAAAAAAAAAAAAGAGCCTCACAGTATCAAAAAGACCCTCTGTGTTTTACTCTTGTCCCACAATCATCAATTTCCCGAACCATAGTTAATGTCTATAAGAGTAAAACAAATTTGAGAACTGAGAGATTTAAAAAAAATTATCTTGTACAAAAAATCATTTTTAACCTAAAGGATCTGCACTGTTAAAGTGAAGTTTTGTTTTTCAGATTTTTAAAAACCTTGGCCTACTCATACGTAGGCAGAGAAAAGTGACGAATCTAATAATTTTGCTGAGAAATTGTCCTCATGAAGACAAGCAAACTAGGCAACTGGAATCCCCCCTCTGCCATATTCCTCCTGAGCGCATTATTTCTCTGTGTGTTTAGTTGCGCCCATCTCTCCCCATCCTGTGTAGACAAGGGAGCCTGGGAGAGAGCAGACCCATGGGAATGGGTGTATGGAAGGTTTTAGGACGGTGGGGTGAGAACAAGCATTTCAGGATGAGCTTTGTGTCTTCATTCTGGACTGTGTCTACACTTCCAAAGGGCAGAAAGAATGAAGAAGAAACCCCAAATAGTCAGTCCTCGTCATTAGCTTCTGCCTGAAAAAGTCTAGCAATTAAATTTTTAAAATTGAGAGGTGAATTATTCAGATAATCTTCCTTGTTCCCCACTTCCTCTTGAAAGTGTTGCTATGACATTTTTATTGACAGAGGTGAGGATGGAGTCAAAGGGGGGATATAAGTGACACATTGTTTTTAGTTCCTGTGAAATTCTCAGAGCGTACAGAAATTGAACTAGTAGTGGTTGGGATGACAAGGTATTTTAGGGTTTAGGGTTAGGGTTCCTGCATGGAATGGAGACAGTTTCCTTCAGCCTTGGAGGAATGGAGAGGGGAGGGTCTTGGAGCAGAATTTGCTCTGTTTTGGTGCGTGGACATTTGTGGGGGCAAGAGGGGTGTTGAATTCTTTTGATAGAAGACTTATCTGCACAGCTGGTTTTAACCCAAGAAGGGGTCTCCTGGTGCCTCCTCTGGTGGGCAGACCCTGGGCAGGGACCCTCTGCTTCCGGGGACCTGATTCTCTACATCTCAGGGCCAGGACCTCCCACCTTGGATGTTAAGTGGCTCACAACATTGGGCTCCTAGAGTGATTGGCTTCCAAGCAGGCTGGCTTACCTGGACTCTTTTCTTCTTCTAGCTGTTGGTGCATGCCTCAGATTCCTAGTGCAGAGCTGGTGACCATAGAAAGGCAGGAGGCCCCACTTGGTGGTCTGTGCCCACTGAAACTGTCTCCCTGCATGCCATCCCCTCCCTCAAACATGCAACAGAACACCTTCCTCTGATAACGGGGGCAAACTAAAGCTGACAGATGCCCAAATGACCTAACTGCAGGACTGAGGGGTTTTCCTGAATGCCTGCAATCCTGCCGGCCCGCAGACCAGGGTGAAATTTGGAGGGACTCCTCTAAGGATAAAAGAATTCTAATAACTAGTGCTGTGCAGAGCGCTATGGGAACCTGAGGCAAAAGGAAAGATCAGTAACACCGGTCCCATCTTTATTTAATTTTTTTATATTTTTTTGTTCATCATGGATTTTTTTGCATTCATTTTGACTTTTTTAAACATCCCATTAAAATATTATTTATCTTGATTCCTGAGTTTGGGCGCCCCCTCCTTTAAAGTTTGGGCCAGAGACAATGCACCAGCGGCCTCACCTTAGTCATGGCCTCGTTAATATCAGAGGTACAAGGGATTTGGGGGCAGTCCGCCTGCCGCCTTTGAGTCTCTGCCCGAACCTTGCACCTCTGCAGCCGCGCAGCCTCGGGGCCCCTAGCCCGATCCATGGTGCAGCCACGCGAGTCACTTGCTCCCGCCCGCCTTTTCTCTCTCCCCAGACGTGGTTCCCCTCCAGCCCGAGGTGAGCAGCTACCGGCGCGGGCGCAAGAAACGCGTACCCTACACCAAGGTGCAGCTGAAGGAGCTGGAGAAGGAGTACGCGGCCAGCAAGTTCATCACCAAAGAGAAGCGCCGGCGCATCTCGGCCACCACGAACCTCTCGGAGCGCCAAGTCACCATCTGGTTCCAGAACCGGCGGGTCAAAGAGAAGAAGGTTGTCAGCAAATCGAAAGCGCCTCATCTCCACTCCACCTGACGGCCTACCTGGCTGCCCGCCCCGTCTATTTATGTCGCCGCTTTGTACCATAACCGAACCCACCGAAGGACGCTTCGCCGGTGCAGACGAATATTTAATGTTATCACGAAAGGGGAACCGCGCCGCTGCCGGGAGGCAGAGAGGATCGGAGGGCCAGCTCTGCCTCACCCTACTCCCAACCCCATCCGCCCCCCCCACCCCCCATGCAGATGGGAACTACCCAGTCTCAACGGCTTTGGAGGTGGGTTCAGGTGGGCTGTGGGAGGAAGGCGACTGGCCTCCACTCCCCCTCGCTGTCACCCCTCGTCTTGCGAGAAACCCGAGTGGCAGCGAAGAGCTCAATCATTCCAATCTAAGCAGGGCTGGGGAACCCCAAATGACCCCATTCTTGCCTCATCCTTTGCCCAGGCGGGTAGAAGACCCTCCTGAGGGTGGGGGGCAGGGGTGCAGGACCTGCCGAACTCATACTTTCCTTCCAGTTCCTCCTCCTGTTCCCTGTCCCTCCTGCTCTCCTTAGTTAGGCAAGATTTCCAAGTTAAGTTGTTCTGTGCATATTTTAAAATTCACGTTAATATTAATGATAATTATTAGGGATCTGGCATCGTGATTGGAGTACAGACAGTGCATAGGTTTTCTTTCTTTCTTATCTGTTTCAACAAAAGCTGGAATTGACCCAGGAGCCACCTACCCACCCCTGCTTATCCAAGAAACTGAATTTCTTGGGAGCCGTGTTTGCCCCCACTGCCTCCTCTGTTCTGCTCTCTCAGTCAACATGCGGAAACTCTAACCCTGCTGCTGAGTATGTCCTCTCTGTCTCTCTCTCTCTCTTTCTCTCTCTCTCTCTCTTTCTCTCTCTCTCTCTCTCTCTCTCTCTCTGTGGTGAGGTTGGGGATCAGGCCAGGCACAGAAGCAGAACTTTTTTCTAAGGAAAGGACAACCTTCCCTTTCAAGGGGATGGAGAGTGGGGCTCCCCCAGAGTCCCTCTCCAGGTGCTTCTTCATGGGGCAATAGCAGGGGAAACAGGCCTCAAGCTTTCGCTGTCACCGGTTGTCCAGAGGAAAGCAGTTTTCTTCCAGGAGGCCAACAGAACCGCCGCCAACTGGCCAGTGACTGTAGACGCTGCCTGTCACTTCCCTCCTCCAAGGCCCACTTGGTGCTGGGTTGGGGGGCTCACCTTCTCCCTTACCAGGGTGCATTACAAAACAGTATTCTTTTGAAATGTTAATCAGAAATAGGCTTTTTAAAAATGTTGTGTATCTGTATATAGTATTGTGATGTCTGAATGACAATGTACTGAATGCGAAAAGAAAAAACCCCCTAAACCTGTTTTTAAAATAAAATCTTTTTTTTTTTTTGGCCTTGATTTTCTTGCTCAGATTCCTTCTAAAGTCCCTTCTGTCCACTCGCTCTTCAGGGCAGTCTCTGATGCCCTGACTCAGCCGGAATGGATGGCGGGAGGAGTGTAGACAACACTCCCAGCTGGGTAGACCCCAAACTTGCTCCACTTAAATTTTTTTAAGTGTTATTTGGGTGGTTGATACTATCTAGACAGGAGAAAACTCCTGCCTATCCTGATGCCTAAAATAGATGAGTGTATGTTGGGGAGAGAAGGATGTAATCAGTAACTGGAAAGGCCTAGGAGCAGGTGAGTGAGAAAAACACATTGCCGTTCACCTCAGTTAATAGTTGGGGCTCAGATCTGGATCTGGGTGCAGAGACGGCAGCAGCCTCCCTGGGAGCTGGGTGTGGTGGTGGTGGCAGCGGCAGCAGCAGCAGCAGCAGCAGTGGGGAGATAACCTTAGGCTCCTGGGGCCCTACTTAGCCCAGAGTGTCCCAAATCCAGCCAGTTCAGGGCTGGGGCTAGGGAGGGGTCTGCACAGGCTGCCATGCTAGGGAGCAGCTGCCAGCTCAGCATTCCCAGCCTGTACTCTTTTCTTCCCCATTAACCTAGGCAGAGAAATCGGGCTGCTAGGGACCCTTATGCTCCAGTTCGTGAAGCCAACCCCACTTTCATTCTCCGGCCTTCCTGGGAACCCCTCTTCCAGGCAATCAGGAGCCATGTAGACTCTGCCACTAATTTGTTTTCCCTGTCGTGTCTGTCTGTGCCTATCTCACTATCTGGCGGAATTAATGAGATCGTTAAGTTGTCAGGTTAAGAGACTTTTAAAAAGCATTATAGCCTAAAACAATGTTATCTCAGATAAAATCTTTACTGCAGCAATTTTTATTTATATATAATATTTTTCCTCTCCTGAGACACAGAAAGACTGGAGGCATTGGGTTGGAAATCAGAGTTTTCCCATCTCCCTTTGCCTGACGGCTGAAGTTCTTAAAATTTTATTTAAATAAATGTTTCTGGGGGTGAAATACACACATACACACACACACACAGAGTCTGAGAGACAAAGAGCCTGAAGAATTCAGCCTTTGTGGAGGCTCTGCTACTGAGGTGGCTGCCGCTCCTGTTCTACTCCATTTCAGCTCTGGGTTAACTACTGAAGAGTCACATGCTGGGCAGTGGGATTTAGGAAGGAATAGGTAAATCTCCCAGGAATAAGGCTCATTGTTAATTCCATCTCCCCTTTCTCTCCCCACCCACCACCCTAACCTCTCTCCAAAACTCCTGAGTCTTTCCTGAGATGGAAAGAGTGGAAGACTAAATGTGTGTGATCAGAAAAAGGAACTGAGTAGGCAAGAGGCCTGGGGCTCCCTTGATGAGGGCCCCCACTCCTCTTGACCTGAGGGTGCTTTGGGTAGTCCCGTGACACAGCTGTAGACACAGTGGGAGTTGGAGACTCAGTGGATAAAGAGAAGTCTGGAGTTCTCCGAGGGATCCCTCCACTTCTGCACACAAACCCACACATAATCAACTGAGTGAGTCTTCCCATACAGAGGGACCCATCCTGAGGCCCCAGAAGGGGGCGATGGAAAAGAGAAAGCTTGTGCAGGCTCACTGGGGTTGCGCTGGAACACCAGTAAGCCAGGCAAGGACTGCAGCCCCCCTGAGCTGTGAGCCCCTCTGGAAGCCCCAGTGTACCAGGGTGTTAAGGACCCTCTCATGCATTGGATGAAATATACCTGGATGGATTTTGGAGGAGGATCAACTCTGGAGATGCCTCTCCCATGAGAGTAAGCAAGAGCGAGAATGGAAACCCCCGTGTGAGACAGGTGTGTGAGTGTGTGTCCTGGGGAGGCAAAGTTGGGAAAACCTATGATTCTTTCCCCGATTGTGTTGTTCCTTACCTTTCCTTACTCCAAGAGCTGGCATTCTTAATAGAGACTCTGTGAGACACTCCTGTGAGGATGTGTGTGTGAGGATGTGCACTCGTGTGTGTGCATGTGTACTCACACGTGTGTGTGCGTGTGTGTATGTAGAGTCTTTGACCAGTGGAAAATTTCCTCAGCTTTTACCACCTGTGTGTGCGCAAGTGTATAAGTAGGAATGTTGTCAGCTATCACTCATCTCAGGGTGTAGAGTGTGTTTTTTTCTTCTTTATTCAAATCTATAAAAAGTCTTCCTTTCCAAGGCCTGCCTCCTAGTGTGTGTGTGAGAGTGAGGCTGCAGTGAATACGAGGCTGCAGGGGATAGAAGAGGTCTGAAGGGCTGTGAGCACAGAGGCTTCCCCTGGAAAGAGACAGCCGTTCTCCTCTGGGATTGCCGCTCCTGTTATCTTTCTCATAATTCGATGGCACTCCCCACTCCCCATGACCCCCTTCCAGGCCAGGACTGAGGGGACTCTCTGTCTGGAGGTCCCTCTACCAAGCTGCCAGGGAGAGCTCAGTCAGATCCTTTCTTGAGCTTGGGGGAAAAACCCTTCCCCACCCACAGCTTAGTCCCCAGGCCTGGGGCCAGCGGACATTTCAGCCTGTAGTCCCACAGCCAGGAACCCACCTGAGGGAGCAAGGCCAGCAGTTCTCAGGAGATCCCTCCACGACTGTCTCCAGACCATCTGCTCCCGAGGCTGAGTCACAGGTGGCTGGGTCAGGGGGCCAGTGTGGGTGTAAGGTGGGGGCAGCCTCTGGGACATTCTCCATCTCTTGGAGAATTGGAGCTGGGGACCCTGTAGCAGCCCCCTCTGTTCAAAAGAGAACTCCCCACCCTAGCATCCACCTGGATCCGACTGATTGTGCCGGGAGCCCACCCCTCAAAAAACTCCAAGTGCTGGTTCAGGCGGACGAGTATCCAGACCTGCGCTGGTGTAGGACTGAGAGGCCCTGGGGAACTAGGGGCTTCTGGGAGGAGGAGGGGGCCAGAGCCTTTTAGCAACCAACCAGGCTCTTCCTCTTTTAGCCTTGACCGTGACTAGGTCTTTCTGACCTTGACATCACAGGGAGCACAGGGAAGGGGGGAGGGTGGAAAAGGCCTTGATCTTCCGGTGGCCAGAGAAGGGGAGGGCCGCTGGCCCCCTTGACGCGCCATCCCCCTTCCCGCCAGACCCCACCGCCTCTGTTTACACATAGAGGAGGTGTCGTCTCCAGTCTAGACAGGGGCGCTAATAACGCCCATAAAAGGCCGCCTCTCCAGAGATGCTCTGCAACTGAGCTCCCGCGCGCCTACCGCTGGCCGCTCCCTCGCCTCCTCCGCCCCGCCCTCCTCGGATACCTTGGCTTGGCCTGCGGGCAGCCTTGGGAGGGGGGACCCAGAGGGTTTCTAGAGGTTGAGAACTCCTGCCCCGCACCCTTCTGAACCTCTTCAGTCTCCAAAGGTAAGTGGACCCCCGCTCTCCCAGCCCAGCAAGCCTCGGGGTTAGTAGCACATCTTCCCACCCCAACCAGCCTCCTGGGTGGGTTGCTCCCATCCCAATCCGCCCGCGCCCCCCCACCCTGGACTGGGGGCTTGGATTTGGGAAGCAGTTGTGGATCTGGGCAAAGCAGACCCCAAGCAGATCTTTTGGGGAGATCCCTCCCCAAAGCTAGGCCTGGCGAGAGGCCATGGTCACAGCGAGCCTCCGGCTGTGGGGCAGAGGGCACTGGGGCAGTCCTCACCCCATACCGAGCATCGAGGTCCGCGGAGACCAGGCCCCGGGCTCCCGGATACATTGCAGGCGGCTGTGGGTGTGGCGTTTGATGAGAGTTTTGTTTTTTTTTTTAACTTGGTTCCCACATCTTTCTTGAGACTCAGTAATTCACTAGGCGGAGGAGATCCTCTGCTGGCGGAGGGGGAAAATGTCAGAGCTGCGAAACTATTTAACTATTAGCGCGCCGAAAGAACAGAGAAAAAGGGAGAAAAAGGCCCATTTAGGGATGCTCAGGTGAGAGGTGGAGAGATGTTGTCCCAGACGCTACCACCTGGAATTCCCCCACCCCTTCTCCATTTCCTGAATAGCAAACACGCTGGGGTCTTGTGGTGGGAGGGGGCCCAGAGGAGC